ATGGCAGCCCTGTGTGTGCCACCTCCTGAATAGAGCCCTTCGTGGCATCTGACAGGAGGAGAACTGGGTGATAGGAAAATAACTTCTAACTTGCAAGTTCAAATCAAAAGACAGGACAGAAATAAATTACAGATGAAGTGTTTGAAAGGATCCGTACACTTACAGGCACATGCCTCTGAACAAATACAAAATATTTGATCCGTAAAGGTCAGCGCTGTACATGAAATTCCCTCCTTTCTTGTATCAGTGCCAGGAGACCACTCAGTGGATTACTTCAGTTCTCGGGCTTCCAGGAAACACATTTGATGCCTGAACTCCCCCTCAGCTTTTTATGGCCCTTGTAGTAGTTTAATGCAGTCATGCTCTACAAAGAAAATGGAGGAGATGTGCACTTAAGTGTCTTTACCTGGTAATGAACAATATCAAATGCCATCTGAAAAAACCTTCCTTTTATCTTGAAAGCTGAGCCTAACATGGGGTAACTGTAGAAACAGGTAAACTCACTTTTGTTGTACATTTATGGCCATAATAAGACATTAGCATTGGCAAGGTTCTTCTTGGATCACAAATGCAAGTACAAATTATCCATCCATGGAGCCTCACTAAAAGGGTAATTCCGTGGGCTGTGATGGATGCTGAGCAAGACCAGCAAAAAAAGATTCCAGACTTAAAGAAGTTTGGTATTAAAAAAATAGAAAGATTAAAAAAAGACTGGATCAGTAGAAAAGATTTGCCCCCAGTTTTATACCTCTAAACGTATCCTCGACGTACAGAAACAACCTAATATAGAATACCCCATCACACAGTTATACGTGCACAAATACTTGTTTGTGGCAATTTCATTACTATGAGTAGCAAACAAATATTCAGCCATGCTCTCGAGGCCCCTCCAGTTGAGCTTCGCTTCAACCGAAACAGAAAGAGATGGAAGAAGGATAAAAACAGCCCCATCTGTTCACTGCTTCCTGCGATGCATCTTTACAGCGTTTGCTCTGCCTGGTCTTTGGATAAGAGCATTAAGAAGGACTTCTGTCTGCTTCTGCAGTGCCCCATCAGCAGCCCCTCGGCGCTCCCTGGCTTTGCCCAATGCTGCCCTGTCTGCCTTGTGCTCAGTTGCTGCGCTTGGAAAATCCAGCCAGGCGCCAGGACTCTCCCAAACAAAGGCGCTCTGGAAGCATCCAGTTGGATTTATCGACATGTGTTGTTGTTTTTTTTAATTTCACATATATTGTGTTTCCATGGCGCTGACTTTTTGCCTTTAAAACTTTGTCATGTGGGTTCACTGCAAGTGAACATTAATGCACAGATACATGAGACTTGTGGAGTTACTTTATACTTAATAAAACAGGAGCTCGAGAGGCAGGCAAGACTTCGCCATCCTCAGTGCTGCACTCAGCATAGCAGCCCTCCCTTCTCTTTTCCTCCCAGTTTGCTCATCCTTGGCCCAGCGCCCATGGAAGCACGCAGCTCCTGCTTCTCACGGGTGTGCAGCTCTGAGCTGCTTATAGAGACGTGCTTTAAAAGTATTAGAATGATCAACATATTCAGATATTTTGATATAATCAAATGTTCTTTCAGGGGCTCAAGTAATTGGAAATGCCAAGTTTGATATGAAGGAAGAATGAAAATGAAAATCTCACCTTCTGCCATCTGTCACAAAGTCAGAGTTTGGGTTTGTCCAAATATGTCCAAAAAAACCCAAGTCACAACAGACTTAATTGTCCTGCTTTGAGTTGTTGGTGTCCTGTTCCAACTGAAATAATGGCATCTGTGATTAAGCAATTCCTCAAAAGGATTTGTTTTGCCTTCTTTCTTTGTGTCTTATTACAATTTCAGCCAGCTGTTCTGACTAGAGCAATTGTGTTCTGGGCTTGAGGATGTCAGAGTCCAAACTGCAGAAGCAGAACAAGAAAAGCAAGGCCCTTGCTCTTAGAAAGTGAAAGCACTTGGCTGCACTGTGAGAGCTCTGCTCCGCTCTTTCCTATCGTGCTCGTTGAGTTCTGTGTGGGCTTTGATGCCCAGATAACTTCCACACTTCTGCACAGGTTTGTGTGGTACTGTTCTTGACCACAGTGGTCACCTCCCCTCCACTGAAAGATCTCATCTTGCACAGAAGTTAGGCTGTGTGGTACAGCTGGTAGCTCTGTTTGTTCCCAATAAGGTATTTCGTTATTTACTTGTGCCCATGCCTACAAGGAAGGTGGAAGGGGCCTGAGATTCCCTTCCTTGTATTCTAGCAGAACTTGAAAACAAAGGCAAGTCTGTACTAAAGGAAGGAGAAGCGTTATCCCCATTTGTGCAGACTGGTTCTGGAGGAGCACAGAGGTGCTCAGCTCACAGCACACAGCAGCCTGCTCTCTCTGCCCTGTCCGGCTGCGGGCGGATGGATGGAGCACCTCCAGTGCTTGGCTGCCCTTGTAACGCCTGAAGGGATTCTTTGGCTCTTCACGTTTCTATTTGCTGTCATTTAGCACAGTCTATTAACTTCTTCTCAATGAAAACTTCCAAGTTAGTGTTCTAATTTTTTCTAGTGCTAGTTGCTGCCCACACGTTGGAAGACACAGTCCTGCCCTACACAGCTCACAGTAAACACTTAGAAGAATTTAAAGAACATGTAACATAAAGGCCTTAAAGACGTAAATTAATGGAAGTCGCAAGAATGCAGCAAGGCTAGAGGAGCAGGCGATTCTAGCAGGGTAGGATTAGCCTCATTCATCCGGAGATCGGAATCAGATGGTCTTTAAAGTCATAAATGAAGAAGAAATGGATGATGCATTTATGATCTCACCAGGAAAGCACGGCAGTCACACCCCAGGTCAGATTCTCTCTCTGTTGTCTTTGTGGCAAGCGAGCTCCTCTTTCTATTTTTTTTTTTCTTACCCCATCTAAAAATTATGGGAGGCAGTTCCTGGTCTCTGGCACGCACAATGAAGGTGCACAGTGTTGCTACAGCATTGTAATTTGTCAGCATTAAAAAGCCTGACATCTCGTTCTCCCAAATGAAGCTAGCAATGAAAACTGAAAATGGCAGAGTGTGATCTCCTTCTGGTAGCAATGAACGTAAAAACAATGCGAAACAGAAGGAAAGTAATGTCTTATTGCAACCCTAAATTCTAATTTCCAGATCCTGCACGAATCATCTAACAGTTGTTGAGATGAGACATATAAGATAGTGAAAGAAAGCAGCCATCATTCCTCACAGACAGTCGTGTTTTTCCTTCTCAATTCCCTTCCTGAGTTGGGGATTTTAACAAGTCCTCAATAACGCTGTGACCCAGCTGTGCTGGCCCTGCTAAGGACTGGCACGTAGGCAGCAAGCACTCAGCAGTGGCATGAGGGAAATAATGGGCAGGTGCACGTTGTTGTTTTTGTTCTTGGTGCTTTGGCAGGGCTCCTAGCAGGCAGCCAGCAGCCTGACCTGGCCAGGACAGGAGCACGAAGGGCTGATGGCTGAGGATGATGCTGGCTGAGGGCAGAGCGCAGCAAAAAACAGCTTGGCAACAGACTGAGCACTGGAGGAGATCATCCCCAGATGTGCTGTTTCGGAGCCACGTTGATCCCTCTTTCTGCACTTTGTGATGTTTCTCTATACCACACAAACACCATTCTCTGATGGTATTTCTTGGGATGGCCTTTGGTGCTGCTTGCATTCTGTTGGTGTGAGATGCTGCAGCCTGCACTGTGCATCATGCTATGGCCGCGTGCAGGCAGCTCCCAGGGTAGGGCTCAGCTCACGTGGAGGGGTGTTATGCACCTCACCTGTAGAAGTGGTGCTTAAGGAATGCAAAGCACCTCTGGATATCTGCATGTCTGAAATTCCTGCTGCCCTTACAGGGAGGTCACTTCCACAAGTGCCGCACAGACGCCCCAGGGCAGCCCGCAACCCGAGGAGGACAGGATGTGCCCTGTGAATGTGCTGGGTGGGGAAGGAGCATTTAAATAGCGCGAGCAAATGGCAGAATGGATAGAAGGCAGGCTGCGATTATTCTCCTGCAAAACACGTGAAGGATATCGGTTATAAAAGGGAGCTGCTAAAGGGCATCTGGCTTATGGCCGCCGCTGGAGGCTGCCGGGAGGAGCTGCCCTGGGGTCGGGGATGGAGGGTGAGGCTGCAGAACTGCCCGTGGGAACGTGTCCGCTCCTCCCTCCTTCCCATACGTCCGTCAAAATCAGCGCTTTTTGCAGTGGGTATCTCACTCCCTCTCCTGGGGACGGAATGGAGGGGATACGTGCGGGACCTCGGGCCGTGAGGGCTGACCTGGGGATCGGCCTCATTTGCTGCCCAGGTTTGACAGCACTTGAAGGGATGCCGCTTTCGGCTCTGCTGCCAAAGTGCCACTCGTGTTCCCAGCGCCGCCCGCTCTGCCCGCCGTGCCTGACCCACGCAGGTTGTTCTCTGCTGTAAATGCTGGGCACCACAGCACCGTTATATTTTTACTGCCTTATTTAGCCAAGGGATTAAATGTAACGTTCAGGTTACGTCGGACATTAACTCCTGACAAAAAAAAAAAAAAAAAGACACAGCTGCGAGATTTCCCATTAAACGTTTCGCGGCGGCGTTGCAGCGGAGCAGTGCGGGATCCGTGACTCCATGACTCGCCCTCCCGCACAGAAAGCAGTGCGCTGCTCCACCCGCACAGGTGCCGCCCGTCGCTCCCGGAGACGCGCACTGCGGGGCTGCGCGGGTACCGACCGCACCCGGGGCCAAGTGTGCCGGCGGGGAGGGGGGGAGGCTCGTCCGGGCGGGAAGTTGTTGCCCAGGGCGGGTGGTGCAGGCGCTCCGACCTCCCCCTGCCTCCCTCCGGTGCGCTCGCCTCGTCTCTCCGACAGGATTTTGATGTGAGCCGATGGTTGCCACGGTAACGGCGGCCCCGGAGCCCCGCGCCGCTGCAGCGCCCGGCCGGGCTGAGCACGGGGCGCAGAGCGCGGGGATCGCAGCCGGGCAGCAGGCCGGGGCTCCAGCTTGTCTTAATATTTAGTATTCTTGTCTCACCCCGCAGGGGTTCCTCAGCCGCCGGCTTAAAGGCTCCATCAAAAGGACAAAGAGCCAACCGAAGCTCGATAGGAACAGCAGCTTCCGGCACATCTTACCTGGCTTCAGGAGCGTGGACAATGAGAGGTGAGCGGCCGTTCCTCGGGATGGGATGGGATGGGATGGGATGGGATGGGATGGGATGGGATGGGATGGGACGGGATGAGCACGCCGTTTTTTGCAGCCTTTGTTAACCCTGAGCTCATCTTATTGGGAGCGACGGCACATCTGTGATAGAGGTGGACTTGCTTAATTGCATTAGGTGTAATTTTAGTGCATTGGCAAGCACACAGTGCGAGCCCTCCCTTTTTAGGTTGAGTAGAATGGACTGAGGTGCCCATCTGATGGGCTTTCCTCTCCCCACTCCACCCGAAGTTGTTGCTCTGGCACAGGCAGAGCATGGAGATGTAGCAGCCGCTGAGCGCTGCAGGCATGGGAAGGAGGGAGGGAGCAGCACCGGCTCAGCCCTTGTATGGACAATAACAGCCGTGATGTCCCCAGATCCCTTTCCCCTTCCACACCTGCACTCCGGTGCAGCCCTGTGTCTCTGCTCCCAGGCAGCCCATGGCAGGGAGCTGTGTGGAGTGGGTTGGCTGGCGGTGGAGCAAACTGCACACAAAATAAGGGGAAAAGAGACCTGGTGGTTATTTTCCAGCCTGGTTAGAAGACGAAGCTCATCAGTGTGTTTGTGTGCGTACATTTCTGTGGGTGCATGAGTGAGACAGCCACACATCTCTGGATAACTTATGTGTGAATGCAGAATGCAGAGCGACGGCAGGTTTGGTTTGATGGGCCCCGCTGCTAACAGCACACAGAGGTGTTGCTTCCAGGAGGAAGATCCTGAGGTCTTATATGAATCTATTTAGAGAATGACACACAGGTATGGAAGTGCCAGAAAAGCTCTGTCTGAAAAGAATGGCAGATCAGGCATACATGGATGTGATCGTTTTGTAGCAGTGAGATTATAAAATATCAAGACAGCACCATAGGACCCACTGAGCACACGTTTCACTTTCAGACACAGCGAGAGCAACTTCCTTTTAGCCATCCTCACCCACTGGAGGGGCTGGGAGCTGCTGAATGTTTCTGAAATCTGGGTTTTTCTTTAGACAAACTAAGCTTTTTCTTTCTGGATTTAGCAAGTGGAAGGATTGTGCTGGTCAGCGCAGGGAAACGTTGCAGAGGCAGAGTCACAATTTTGCGCTGCAGTTTTCACAGCTGCTCCAAGCAGGGCACTGTGTTCCACATGGTGGACAAGTGAGGGCAGCTGGGGATCTGCCCAGTGCTGCTGGGTGCCCCGAGATGGGCACAGAGGGGGCACACAGGGCAGTGTTTTCTCTCTCTGCAGATGAGTTTTGTTTCATTCTGCCAACTGGCAGTGTAGGACACGGGAATGAACTGCTTTGGCCAGCCCTGAAGCCAAAGTCGTTTTCTTAAATTAAGTCTGTGATTTCCCTGCTCTCCCTGAACAAGAGCCCTGCCACATGCTGGGCAGTGTCCTTCTGACAGAGTGCATTTACCACAACTTTTCTCTAAAGGAATTTGATGAATGGCTGTAGTGCATTTTCAGCATAGTGATTGAAATGTGGATTAGAGGAGCGGTAGCATTTGTCAGCATTGAACAAACCATAAGGATTCGCTTATCTGAGTATTCAGAAACTGGAAACGAAGGGCTTCAGGTATCACTCAGGCTTCATCTGTGCTCTGCAGACACGCCGCTGTCTGCAGGGAGCCGTCTGACGCTCGGTGGATTCTGGCACTGAGCTTTCAGTCCCCAGCTTTCCCAGCACTGTCAGGTCAGTGGGAGTGAGCGGGTTTCCTTCTGCAAAATTCCCTGGCTGTAGATACAGCTCCGGGAGAGGTGAAGCAAAGGCAGCAGTTGGTCTTCTCACTGACACACCTATGGCTTGGTTACGGAGATAATTCTGTCTTCCTGAACATTCCTGTGTCGATTAAAATGCATGATGCATGCAGCTCTGTGTATGAAGGGGCTTGACTCTATATCACTCTCATTCGGTTTGTGCTGTGCTTCCTTATCTCTCTGGAAATCGAAGAAATGCTTCAAAGGAGCACCTGCTATCAGCATTGCTTCCTAGATATTTGATTTCTGACTCCATCTTGTATTGAAGCTGACTGCCCGCAAACTCCTGCTTTTCTCATGGAAGGAAGCATTGTAACAACATTCTGTTCTGGGGCTTGGCAGAATTTTTGCAAGAGATTGCATCTCTGCAAGAGATGCCGTAGCACAAATGAATGGTGCAATAAATGCAGAAAAGTCCTTGAGGTTAAGTATTGAGCTATAGTTGTAGTAGATCACAAATGATTGTTTCCTGGGTTTAGCATACCTTTATTGGTGCTGTGTAATATCTCCTCATATCTTTATTTTTGCATTTCTTGTGTGTCCTGTTCATCCTGCTGTGTACAGCAAGTGTGTATAAATACACGAAGTGTGCACAGATGTGTGCAGACAACCAACGAGGTGGACGTGGCATGTATGGAGAGAATGTAAACGTATCTGTGTTTGATAAATGTACGTATTTAAATTCATCATGTGAATTTGAAATGGCACGTGATTACAGTGAGGAATTTGTACAGTGAGTTTTATAACAATGCAAAACGAGGAAATATCTGTAAACAGAAATGTCACAGAACGTCTCGTTTGCAGCACTTCTAAATCGCCCTGCTGGCTGTGGGTCACTCTGTGCTCCATGCCTCACAGCAGCACAAAGGATCAGGCAGGTTCCCAGAAGAACCTCGCCGAGCTGCTCGTACAGAGCGAATCCCCGCAGCCTGAGAGGAGCTGGCAGCTCTGCCATGTGTGGGGCTCAGCTCCACGGAGCTGCTGTGCTTTTTGCTGGGGTCCCACTGCGCTCTGCTATGTGCACACATGGTCTGAGCAGCTCTGGGAAGTCCGACGGTGCAGCCTAGGAGAATCCTGGGCAACTTCTTTTTGTCTGTAGAGAACATCTGAGAAATTGTCTGAGCGGCACATCAGAAGAACGCGTTGATTACAGTCAGGCAGAGCTTATGTTTGTAGGACAGGCGTGGTTGAATCTCATGGCGTCTGATTTTCACACTGACTGAGAGGAAACTGATTTGAAAAAGATGGAATAAGAGGTTGGTGCTGCCTTCAAGTGATGGCGGGGCTCACGCGGTGCAGCTGGACACATCTCTTCATCCTTTCACATACTGATGTTCTTCTTGGAGGCTTGTAACAGCAACGGGGTACAGTGATTGATTGTGAACAGAAGCAATATCACAGCAAGTACAGCTATGGCCTGACATGTGAGCTGTGTTCATCTGGTACGTTGGTATAAATGTGAGATTGCAAGGAGGACTGTGGGATGAGCCTTTCAGGTTTTGTTTGCTTGTTTTCAGCTTTTGTTTGTCACTTGTTAGAGCTAGAAAAGGGTTCTGTTAAAGAGGCTTTTTGCTAACAAGGTGTCCTGCATCCTGACTTATTACAGCAGCTAATGAAGTTTTTATCATGGAGTGCTGAATGTTTGTGTTTGTAGGGGCCTCTCTGGAATCAGCTACAAATCAAACATTTGGCAGATGGGTTGTCCTTAATTGGACCCACATTTCTGCTACGAAATAGGGGTTTGAGCAAGTTCCTGGGTTGGGCTCTGGGCACACAGAGCAGGCCTGGAGAACCGGGAAAAGGTTATTCTGCTGCGCTTGTTAATTGTGTTGTTTGGGCATTGTTACATCAGTGCTGAGAGGAGAGGGACACAGGGTCACTTTATGGGATGAAAGATGGGCACTGTGTGTAACTCATTATTCTGATGTAATCCTGATGCTGATGGCTCCTAAAGGATGCCTTTTCTCAGTGTGCTGTGTGCCTTCAGAGCTAAGGAACACTCAATTAATAACATTTGGGATTATTTGCAAGTTTTTGTGTTGGTCGTTGTTTGCATAATTCCACAAGATAACATTCCATTTATGGTTTTTTTCTTGGCACTACAAAAAATCTGAGCATATGGTGAATTGTTAAATGAGCCTCAGCCTGGGAAGGGCTGCAGCCATGCTTTGGTAACACCATGGCCATGACTCTTACTCACTCTTTGAACTATTCAATTCTTATGCCACCACAAATTTTTCCTTATAACCCACAGAGAGAAGGGAAAGCATACAAGTCACATACTGCAGCACATTCAACTCCTGATGCAGCACCAATGCAGTCTGCTCTATGGGTTCCAAACATTCATAAAGTTTATTTTGAAGCAATAGGAGAGCATTAAGAACTTCTGAATATCCGTACTCATACGGTAAAGTTAGTCTGTGGGTTCTTGTCAGGTCTCATCGTTTGTTTATTCCCAACAAACCTGATAGGCCAAATATTTTTAGTCATGATGAAGCTGGTTGACGAGAATAGGGTGACTGCTGCATTACAGAGCATGCAGAAGTGGCTTTGTTTCCTTTGGGAAGAGGAATGACCCCCGCACAGCCATGCATGGAGCTTGTGGCTGCTTCTGGCTCCTTAGCTGAATGGCATTGGCTGTGCAGTGTTCTAAGCAAGAAGAGTTAGAACAGCAGGTGCAAGGTGGAGGGTTGTTTTGATAATGCAGATATTCTGAGGAAGCACCACCGAGTTTGTACACGGGAACCATTCTGCACCATCAGCCATACCTGGAAAGCAAAATGTGACATGTTGCAAAGCGGAGCAGGAGCATCAGCATCTGTGCAGTGGTGCAGAGGCAATGTCTGTTCTGAGTCCACCCCACCACCAGCAAACAAGCGCAGCTCTGGTGATGGGGAATGGGCTGAGGAGTGCTGCCCACCCACACAGAGTGCTGCATTTATGTCAAGGCAACCTTGGCTGGGAATGTGCAAATCAATCTTTTAATGGGATTCCTTGGCAAAGCATTTCTTGAATCAGAATCAGTTAATTACTGATCCCCATTTAATGGCTATGTTTGGAAGCTACAGTGAAAGCAGAACTGCTTTGAGGGGGAGATGCAAGAGGAAATTATCCCCTTTCCACACAACCCGTTACGTTGCTCATCATCTTCTTCACAGGTACAGGACTTTTAGGAACTGGCACTCAAATCGTTTTAACGGGATAAAGCTCTGAATAGTAAGGGGAT